GCCTGTCTTGAATCAGTGTGCAGTGTCTTTAAGAAGATGGAGGAGCTGAAGTCCTTTCAGAGGGAGGCGATCAAGGTTTATTTAAAAACTTCCACTCTTTAATCCAGCAGTCTCAGTGATTTACCACTGATGATTTAAAAACATAATCTCGTCACGTTTTTATGACTCAAGCATTTGTTCATTTTTAAATAAACTCATTTTAGCATTAATTGTTGTCTTTAGGAGAACAAAGTGTTTTTTCTCCATGACCTGGACTAAATGCATGAACACCAGGCCCCGAGTTTCAGCTTAGAGAGCACCTGCATTTGTTTTACGAGCCAAACCCATCGTGGTGAAGTGGAATGTAGAAAAAATCATTTGATCTTTGCTTCTTGTTTTTGTTTTTTCTGATTGATGCAAGTCAAAAATGTTATTTCAAATATAATTTGGTGAAGTTTGTGATTCCAGTGTTATTTATAAAAATGGACCAAGCATAACTTCTGATGTGTAGGACAGCTCCAGTATCTGTTTATAAAACCTTTCCATGGGTTCTGTGTGCGTGGAAGTGACTCAGTGGGTAAACACTCACCTGAACACAAGACTGACGCACGTTTTGAGACCTGAATTTGGGCTCGATGTTCATTTTCGATGGCCGAGCTTTCAGAACTGTTCGGCCAGTTTTGAAATTCGTCTTGAATCAACGTGAAATGGAAAAATTAAATATCGTTTTTTTGGCATTTGCCTTAATTACATAGTGACGAGGAAGACAGACTCGAACCCAGGACACTGCTCTGTGGTTGCTGCTTACCCGCTGAGCTACGCTGGCACAAGCGACGTTGTGAAATTTTCTTTCACAATAAGCTGTTGAGAGTGCCGTGACTCATCAGCCTTGCACCTGTGAATTGCATATAACCTTTGCATTTCCTCTGCTGTTGCTAAATGATGCAGTCATGGAGGCGTCCACAGACAGATACTGAAGCAGTGGGGCAAAGGACAGAGACCAAAGAGAGGGGTCTGAGAGGACATGCACATAGCTGTGGATGTTTCTGAAGACATTTGTGGTGATAATGAAACATAAGTGTGAAAGGTTTAACCTCCTGCTGCGTCCCTTAAACAACCTGACGGTGCACGCTGGGCAGTCTTGGTTTTTAGAAACTAGTATGTTGCAAATCATTTCCTGTACCTTTATAAAAATGTCCTGACTCATGTGTTGGCCATTGGTTTTGTTAAATAATAATTCAATGCTTCCCATAAAAAGGGAAGATTGTGAATTTGAGATACAGATGACGTGTTTCCTGCTACTGAGTTCTTCTTTCTAAGATCAGCTGGAGACTATCTTTAAATCCAGCAGAGTCGCAGAAAAAACAAGCAAGACTAGAAACGGCAGATCTGCTTGTTGGACCTGGGTAGACCTGCATCACCAGGGTCCAGAAGAACCCTGGATAGACCCTGCTGGCCAGAAATGCTGATGATGTATGACATCCTAAACACTTGTGACATTTGTAACCCTAACCCTCTTAAATACATACAATGCTAGCAATTGCATTCTGCTCGTAAATGCTGGAAATATGATCTGCATGGACAGAAATAGAGTTGCACACACACACGATGTGCTTCTGCCTCCTGTGGGTGTGTGTTTGGGAGCAGAGCTTCACAGTAGCCATGGTTTTCACCTCTAATCTCTCCACCAGACTGGCCTGGTTATGTAACCATGAACCCACAGCAGCACAAACACGCACTCGTCCACTGCCGTGACCCTCGTTCTTTCATTTTTCCATTTAGTTTTGTGACTGGTCGACTGACGTCAGGCGCTGAAATATAAACGTATATATTTCTATTTAACGGGATGCAGCCGCTCTCTGCGCAGCATGGGCAGCTGAGCCATAGGCTGACATTGTCAGAGAGCGTGTGCGTGTCTTTGTGTAAAAGCAGGAACATCAAAGTGGAGTGTGCTGCCTTTCAACTGTCAGCCTTCCTCTGCTCATTAATTTATTCATCACTCTGGAGCTCTTCTTCATGCCCTGCTCTGCGTCTCTGTCTCTCTTCATCATGTCTCCGCTCGTGCTTTTCCTCCCTAATCTTTTCCATAGCTCTGTTATTTGTCTCTCGTTCTCCCCGTTTCCTCTTCCTACATTTCTGACATCTGATTTCGTCCCATTAACTGCAGCTCCAAATGAATCGTACCTAAAATGTATTGTAGAATTGAATATTTCCATGAAACACTGAGATCTAAATATACTCTGGTGACATCTGAACGATTGCTCGCAGAAACGAGCTCCACCGTAAAACTGCAGCTGCTGACGGTGATGTGTTTTCTTTACAGACATTTAAGCCGGTGGTGGGGGAGCGCCTGTTGTCTTCAGTGGCAGCAGTGGAATTCCTATTGGACCGGCAGCTGGACTTCCTGTCAGACCACTCAGCCTACCATCCGTACCAGGTATTCACAGCTGGACGGGCTTTTTTCATCTCAGTGTTGGTGTTTGCTGTTTCGATTACGCAGAGATTGAAAAGACTACACCAGCAGCTATGCTTTTCTATTTCCAGATATTTGCTTTTACGCGCATACTTTCATTAAAATGTCTGAAAGTCAGGTAAAAAAAAAATCCTTGAGATGAATTTTTGTTTCATGCCACTTGTTCAGCATTCCTGCCTCTCGCTGTGATCACGCTTATTCGTGATATTAAACAAATTTATCAGACGTATTTTAGGATCTTGTTGCATGAGTCGCTGCACTTGGCCCTACTAACCTAAAAGCAGAATTTAGCGTGTTCATTGTAGTTTCTAGTACGTCACTGCACTTAGAGTGGTGCCATAGACGGTGATGAAATCGACCGTGGTCATAGTAGCAGGAAACAACTTGATAAGCAGTGTAAGGAATTTCCCTGCTGATGCAATCATGTATTACAGTTATTATTTGATTTCTATTCACTCTCTAGACTTTCATGTCTCATCTCCACATATGCCAAACACATACGTGTCCAGGCACGCGTGGACACACACAGGACCCTAACCCTTTAAAATAATGTGAGTGTCTGCACCGATCCGTCATCATCAAATAAGAGAAAACAGACGGAGAGTGTTTCTGGTGGTCAGCCTGCCAGATGCGCGGTGGCACAGATGGGCACGTTCGTGACGCTTGTTCATCTCCTGAACTTTTGTCCTGCAAGCCATTTCTGTCAGGAAGAGTGGAGGGAGACAGGGTGGCCCTTTAACACAGAGTAACACAGACTTGTTAGTTAGTAGTAAAAACATACAGAGCTCCTGGGAATAGTGAGCATGTCACCTGTACACCTGCAGGTTGAACAGCAGTACGTCATAAATGTTTTTGATGCTAGTTTCATGTTGTCTGTTTGTCTGCAGACAAGGACAGGAACTCGGCGCTGATAGCAAGCTTTGAGTGGTCTGCTGTTACATTAGCACACAAACCCACACTGCAGATAGAAGTGGTCAAGTGAGGCTGATATATGTCTGATATCCATCTATTGTAGGCCAACAGTGGGTCACTGTGTTTGCAGCACCCAGGCAGGAGCCTTGGATGATGAAAGCTATACAGTGCACATCAGTAACACCTTGTTTTGTTTGACCAACAGTTTAAAATCCACAGTTTGTCATGTTCAATGAAGAAATGTGTCCTTCAGCGATTATGATGGGTTGGATATACAACTGAATAGCAGGTAGTGAAGGTGCATTCAAACTATTAGATAGGAAGAAACATTGAGTAGGCCCTGGACTGGATGAGCGGAGGACTGATCCACTGATCCGCTGATCGGGTTGTAGTGTGTGCAGGTGAAGAGCGTCAGCTACGATCATGAATCTAAGGCTGAATGTCAGGATGTATTCCTCATAGGCTGGGTGTCAGAAGAAAAAGACATTCTGGAGTAAGTTGGATAACGTGGTCGTGAGTAGAAATCGGTGGCTGCAGCTCATTGGCCGCGTAGGCACAGGAAGTAAACAGACTTCTCTCTTTACGTGCCTCATTCATCCATTCATTCAAGCACTTGTTTAAAGTGCTTTCTATGATTACACTGACAGAGGGAGACTGCTATCATAACAGTCTCCCTCTGATGGACCCATTAGAGAGCAGGTTGGTCTTAATACCCTGCCTAAGAACATTGGGCATGCAGACTTACCTTTCAGTGGGTAGATGGTCCCGCTCTACCTCCTGGGCTACAGCCGCCCCTGAACAGAGGTTGATTAGATGGTGTTGGGTCGATAAGGAGGGCAGTGGATGTTGTGAAAAGGCTGTGGTCAGTATAGAGTGACGTGCAAAAGTGGATGAACGTACACACAGGTGGACTGCATGATTTTCAGAAGCTGCAATTTGAAAGAGGGACTGTGAGGTGGCAGTAGCTGCCGGGGGAGTGCAGTTGGCTCGTGTCAGGGGCTAGTTTGTAGGATGAGTTTGGAAATCAAGAAGAGGAAGTGAACTAAGACAAAAGGCTTGGATTAAATGGTGGAAACTAACGAAGAAAGAATGTTGGTGAGGGGAAGATTTGAGCTGGGCGATGAGTGGCAAGGACGAGTCACCAGATGACTGATAAAGTACTGCTGAGGGGAGCTGCCAGGAAGGTGTTTGATCTCATTACTAACTTCTTCCTCTGGAGCCTACAGAGCAAGAGCCGCGGTTTAGAATTAGTAAAGAAAAGTCAGGGAGATGTAGACAGTAGACAGGAGTACTGGGAGACTAGTATGGCATATAGAGAGGTGGGAATGGTTTATAGTGAGTTATAGGCGAGGCTGGATACCAGAGAAACACAGTGGGACCTGTATCAGCTGGCTGGGCAGAGATCAGGGATACAGATGGAAACATAATGAGTGAGAGGATGCATGAAGAAGTGTACTGTTACTGGTTTTAAAGAGCAAAGGTGATGTGCAGCACTGTAGTAACTACAGAGGGACGCGCTGATGTGATGCTCACAGGGCAGCACTGCAGGTGTGCTGTTAGCTTTGAGAGTGTTTATAAAGACGTTTAGAGAAGGAGAGAAGGAACTGCACTTTGTCTCGTGGAGTTAGAGAGACTATGATGGTGCCAGGAGAGTAAATGTGGTGCTGCATGAGGACGTCAGGAGAAGAGAAGTATGTGAGGATGGTGCAGGGTATCCACGGGGATAGCGACACAGTGGTGAAGTGTGCAGCTGCTGGATTACACCAGCATCTGCTTTGAGCCCCTCAGATGAGGTCATGCAGGAGTGTGTGCGGAGTATGATGTTTGCAGACGGCAGAGAAGAGAAATCAAAGTCATTAGAAGCAAGACGGAGTTAGAGAGAGAGAAGCAGGTGTCGATGAGGCTCTTACACAAAGACAGGAGGCTGAGGATGCTCAGATGTTCATTGGGAGTGAGCAGCAGTTCAGGCTGAGACGGTTTGGGCATGTGCAAAGCAGGGATGGTGGAAATACTGGACAAAGTGTGATGAATGTGGAGCTACTGGGCAGATTTCTTGGATGTAGTGACAGAGGAGGATACGGAGGACAGGGTGAGATGGAGGTGAATGATCTGCTGTGGCAACGCCTGAAGGCTGTAGCTGGAAAGAAGAAGCAGCCTATAAAAATGAGATGAAACTGAAACAGCCTTAATAAAAATGATGAACAATCATAGTACTTTGTTACTTTTGATATGTGTGCCGCTGAGTGCTGGTGCCTTTTCTTTAATGAGCGGAAATGAAAATGGCCACGTCGTTCCTGCTTTACTCTATGCTCCAACCATACTGGTCCCATTTCTGTTGTGGCCAGAAGGCTCATTAAAGCAGGAATGTTGATTTGAAATGAGCCTTCTGGCTGTCCTGTCCTAACCTGCTCACAGTGACTGAGAGCAGCGTGGAAACTCAGACCTCCCTGCTGCCTTTATGCGAGTGATGATTTTCATCAAGAGGATTTCTTTACTAAGAACGTCAGATTTGTTGATTTTGAGCACATTTTGTACACATTGTAACCAAATTAAATGTGCTAATGAAAAATGAGTCATTCATAATTATGTTGGATACAGCAGCCATGGAGGGACGCTGGCTGTGGAGCGCAGGGAGGTCTGTCTGCTGGATGTAACACTGCCAAACCTGAACATGACCATAAGCTGCGTGTGCAGTCTGTCCTCTGATTGACATGTTTGCACGTGACTGACTCACACCTGCACATTAGCACACAGACACACTTGTGCTGTGCGCGCTTGGTGAGGCGGTTTGATGTTTGTGTTCGTGTGTCAGTGCTGTGCAGCTGAACGCAGCTTGTTGTATTATGTTGGCTGGAACAGTGTGTTCCTCTCGGTGCCTACCTAATGAGAACTGTTCTGCACTCACTGTCTTGGGCAGAAGTTCATATTTAACCCAAGTCAGAAAAAGCAACATGTATTGTGTTTGCAGTCAGACAGAAGTTGAATCAGCTGCTGCCGTGTTCCCTGAGTTGTGATTTGATTTGTTTTATAGATTTCCACACACTGTACAACTTTTATGCATGATGTAGCGTGATTGTTAGAGTAAACAACACGGCCACTGAATGTGCAAATACAGTATATCAAAATTAGGCATGCAAATCCATCCATCCATCCATGCGCTTCCACTTATCTTTATCAGGCTCGCGGGGGCTGGAGTTTGTCCCAGCTACCATAGGGCGAGAGGCGGGGGTGCTCTGTGGACAGATCTGCTCACAGGAGAGAGAGACGAGCACCCACATCCACACCTGTGGACGATTTAGAATCACCAGGTGACCTCCCCTCACCCTCAGCTGGTGGCAGCAGATCGTAGGGGGCTGCTTGGTTGTTGGGGCCTCTCTGTATCAGTATAGAGGTCTTTAGCTTTCAATATTAAATGCTTTGGGACAACTCATTGTGATCTGGTGCTGTATAAATAATATTGAAAGGAAGTCAAATGAATACACACTTCATGATAAACCACATGACTACAATATACACACTGACACTACACAGTCTGCCACATGAGTGGTGACTGAAACAGGAAGGAGTGTCAGGTTGGAGGGGGCAGTGCTGACTGCAGAGGAGTTGTAACACACACACACACACACACACACACACACACACACACACACACACACACACACACACACAATGCAAATTCTTCTATTCTTAAATCACTCATGTTCACACAGAGCTCCCCGTTCTTTAGTAAAAACAGTCGTGTCTCTCTCACTCTCTGCGCTGCAGCCTCAGAGAGTTTTATTTCTTTCTTTTTGGAGTTGGACAGGAAGAAGAGAGTGGGAGGGGGCGGGGACTGCAATCTGTTTGGCATAAACGCTACAATGAAGTCAGTGTTTAGTGGGCCAACCCAGGCTGCTGCTCAGTTCTCTGTGTGTGTGTGTGTGTGTGTGTGTGTGTGTGTGTGTGTGTGTGTGTCCCTGTTACTAGAAAATTGTGGTCTGAAGCTGAAGAGCAGCAGCCAGATAATAAAACTGTTAGTGCTGACTCACCAATCTGACCAAACGATGCACACACTGAGTGTTTCAGATCTGTCGCTCCACCTTTCTGCAGAGATGCTCTCTGTTTCTCTCACGTACAGCAGAGTAGAACTTTACTTCATGTGATCATTAAATGCTCCTAAAATGCTTCAACAGCACAAACACAGTGGACAGGAGCAAGCTTAGGAGGCAACTGCTAACCACATAGCATGCTTATCACTCCAGTATCAAAACAGCCGAGTCATATAAACCACAGAACAGATGCTGTCCCGCTGCCCCAATTTATTACTAGAGCACCAAATACAGATTCATCTGTTAATAATAGAGCCGACCAAACACAGTTTCCTTCTGTTAAGTGTAAATTCACTTTGAAAAGTCGAGTCTGATGAAGGGGATATGGGGTTTAGGAGCTCAGCAGGAACATCCAATGGAGATGTGGCTGGATACCACAAAGTACCAAGTATTGGGTTTCATGGAAGCTGCTGCCAGCCCGACTCGTTGATGGTGTCATGAGGGGACGTTCAGTATTGTTCACATTGCAGGATCACTTCTGTGTGTTTAAAATTAAGAAGTTTTCTTTGTTTTCCTCCATGAATGTGACTGTTGGGGGAGGAAGGCAGCAAGCAGCTGACACACCCATTTTAATAGTGTTCAGCTGACAGCCTCAGAGCAAGTTTCTGGCTTTATGCCCTGCAGTGTTCCTAATACAAAAGCTGCTCTGTGCTGTTGCACAGTCACCTGCTGTGTCTGATTGAGACTTGTGTGGGAGACTATGATGCAACGTATGTAAGAGTGCCGTGAAACCACGTGTATAGAGTCAGCACTCAGATCTGACAAAACAAAAGCTTTGGAAGTCTGCTCGTCTTTGCCAGCTTACATCACTCATTCAGTTTTGACTGCCGTCAGAAAAAGGAGTCAAATTGTTGCTGGACTCGAGTTAGTTTCAGAACATCGTTTCAAACTGACATTACTGCAGGTTTGAAGCTTCATACTGACTAACAAACCAGGCAACATCATAGCCCCGCTGTTCACACACAGAGAATAGTGTGTGCGCTCACTGGGATGGATTACGAGTTAGAGGAGTCTATTAACAGAGGTCATTAGTCATCAGAAGGACAAACTCTAGAATATGAGACACGCTGCTTTCCACTGGGCTATTTTTAGGCTACACTGGTTTAATTTGGAGTTAAAAAAGGTTTTGAAAGTAGAGCACTGCAGCAGGATCAGAGAGGGAGGGGAAGGAGATGAAAGAGAAGGTGAAATGAAAGCGGCCTCACTTCCTGCTCAGCCTCAGCCTCTGTGTCTTTTTGACTCCTGCCACTCTTTATCTGTGAGGAGACGTACACGGACGGGTGCTCACACCCAGTTCTTATCTCACAGTTTTGTAAACAGTAATTAACAATAGAGAAGATTATAGATGATCTCATATATGAGAAAACGCTCAGAGATCAGAGCAGCTACTGAGCTGTCTCAGCCCGTCACCAGGATAAGGAGCAACTCGTCTTATTTGATTGAAACACCAATAATCCGTTTTATTCTGGAACATCTCAGAATGGATCGTTACTACACGAGCTGTAGTGCACATAAGCTCCTGACTGAGCTGCACGGAGCTGTGAGACTGTGTGGTGTCTGTGGTTTGGTTACTCGGTCGTCTTTTAGCATCCCTTTGCGTCTGTGATGTCTCTGTCTTATACCTGTTACCTTGGTGTTTTTACTGTCACAGCAGAAAATCTGTTGTTATAGAAAAACGTAATTATTGATACTTTGAATGTGTTACAGCGAAGGGATAAAGAATAAAAGAGCACGTAGTAGTGTGCCCAGTGAGGGCCTTATACTGTGAAATCAAAACGAGGTCACAGAAGAGTAAAAACTAACACTTTGTGGTACAAAGTGTACATTAATACATGAGTCGGCTCAGAGGGATGAGCGGGCGGCCGTATGATGGTGAAGAGCGGCGAGCTGCAGCCCTTGGCCGCCCTTCTCCTCTCTCACTCTGCTTTCCTGTCACTCTTCACTGTGTCTGTAAATAAAGCCAGCAAATAATTTAAAAATAAATAACAAGTACACTAGATCTAATGTCATGTAGGGATATGTGTGTGTGTGAATCTTTCTGGTATTTGTTTCACTTGGTTGTGGCTCGGTGCCACTGACAGTAGAGCTTCACAGCTGTATGAAACATAATATCACGTCTTTCAAAAACACTTCATTTTTTCCTGGTTTCTAGTTTCAGAGTGAATCTGTTTTTTTTTATAAACATCATCAGATTTTGACAGGAGTTGGATTTTTAGATGTTTTCAGTCACTGCGGTGAGAATCCGCTGATGTCTCAGCCATGGTGGTAATGCTGGCGCTTTAGATGCTGCGTCCACACTGGGCGGGATTTGCTCTGATGATGTTTGATGACTTCAAGTGACGAAGAGAAAAATAACCAGCGGCGATGCGAGATGGTCCCGACTTTTCTCACCTTGGAGGTGTGCAGTGACTGCGAGCGCCAGGGCAGGATACGATGGCTGACACATGACCTGCTTTTACAGGATTACCGAGACAACCAAAGGATGACACGTGTGCAAGTAACTGCCATCTGCTTCAAAGCCACCTTTGATGAGCAGTTTGCAGCTTTATATAAATAGTTTCAGCGGTCGTCGGGATATAAATAAACTGAATGCACAAAACAAAAACAAAGAGCTTGTATCTGTGCCCCAAAATAAGGTCGTTAAAACCCTTTTTCCTGTGCAAGTTTCTGTCATTGTAGTTACTACTGCTGACTTCACCCACAGAGTTCAGCTCCCCGTGCTAGCTCTATCATGTTTCTGCTTTAGCTTTTACCAAGACAGGCCTTTGCACAAATAAACAAGCACTGCTACCCTTCCCAGAAGTCTGGACTGAGGGAGGAGACTGCATTAGTTAGTATTTAATCCTTTAACAGCCTCATGTTCAGTCATTAAACAACAATGCTGCTGTACATCGTGCTAAAGCTCATGTAGACGATCAAAAAGGCACGTTTTTGTTGACACGACTGCTGTATGAACATGCATGAAAACATCATAAAACACTGAAATGTAATGCATTAGAAAAGAAGTGTGATGTGAAAACCTTTATTCTGTAGATATGAACTGAATTGAGCAGGAAAACTGTCTGAAGATTATTCCAGGCTTTTTATCTGAACCCACAACATACTGTGCGAGTGACACATCCATCAGAGGAAGCAGGGATGTTAGCAGAGGGAAAATCAGTCTGTTATTACAGACGGAAAAATCCAGAACTGGAAAGAAGGATCATTGGATCTTTTCATCACCCACATTCCAGCAAGTACGGTATGATGATCCCAGTCTGGACTGAGCACAGGGTGTGAACCATTCATCAAGGAAGAGACGTCTAGATTAGACTTTGCAGAAGATCCACGAGCTAGCAGCAGCCTGTGCAAGAAGGACACGGAGGCTCTGACACACTGTGACGTGTGGGCTTCACTTACATAACTCTTTCTTTTCTTACATTTGGGACTTTTGTGAAAATATTTGGTCACGTTAATAAAGAAATGTAAACATTCTAAAGAGTTATTAGCTTTTGAAGTTGAAATGAACACGGTGGCACCGGTAGCTGAGAAACCATCGTCTGTGTCAGTCTGGTTGTTTCTGAGCTGGCTTTGACTCAAACACGTGTTTAATCATTTGCTGGTACTTGTTGGTGTCTTTAAGGATGAGGTGGACAGTCAAAGCCCAGTGTTAAGAGACAACCCTCAGCTCCACGAAGAAGTGAAAGGCTGGCTCAAAGACCAGAAGGTGCAGGAGATTTTTATGCAAGGTAAGTCTTTGTTTGGACTGTGTGGTCGCATTTTAGCATGCCGTCTTATTTTGCTAAAGCTCACCACGTCAGTGACATCGTTACTGTAATAGTTGTTGTATAAGGAACATGCAGTGGGACTATAACTGCAGTGGGAACTGTTTCCTGTGGCTCGCAGGTCCCTACTCATTAAATGGCTACCGTGTGCGTGTGTACAGACAAGACTCGGCCACCCAGTGGTTCACTGGTATCATTACACATCACGACCTCTTCAGTCGAAACATGGTCGTTATGAATGACCAGGTACGTGGATGCACTCACACACAGTTATGTGATGTTATTATTTAAGTAGTTTTACACTGTGTGAAATGGATCGAAAGGATGGGACGTTTGACCTTAACCTGAGACACAGCCCTCTGTCTTCATCGTGTTTAAAATAATAATCATTTACAGACGTTTCATCTGATTTCATCTGCAATTAAGAGACAGAGGCAAAAGGAGTGGAGTTTGCCTTTTCCCGTAAGCCTTCAATGAAAGCAGGCATGAATCTGACACTGCCCAGTTACTGATTTACACTGAAATCAGATTGATACCATAGATGGATCTACTCAGTCTCAGAAGTGTTTGAATCTTAGTTACCTCAGGGTCAGAGGCCGTTTTGGTGTATCTACTCTGAGGCTGAAGGATACCTGTAATGGTTGGTTAGCAGTCTGCAGATATTCTGTTCTTGCTATAGACCTGTACATGCAGAGTAACGTAAATACTGTAATGATGTTGTTTACATTTGCATCTGTTCATCATTTGATATCGTTTGAATTCTCCAAGATACGAGTGTCGAATGAACCTGGTGTGTGTGCTCAGGTGCTAGAGCCTCAGAACGTGGATCCATCCATGGTCCAGATGACCTTTCTGGATGACGTTGTTCACTCTTTGCTGAAAGGGGAAAACATCGGCATTACCTCCAGGCGCAGGTCGCGATCCAGTCAGAACAACAACGCTGCCCACGTGAGTACGGACGCACAGACACAGAAGCAAATATGACATACAGTGATAAACTATCTGTCACCTGTGCTGTAGGTACTCAGTGAAAAATTAGAAATGAGGAATAAAGATGGATTGTATGCAAAATATTCAGTTGATGAGGGTGTGGAGTTGAGACGAAACACACAAAGCTGTAGAATAGCAAAGATTGGTGTACTCATGACTGTCGAGCTGAATGCATCCAGCACGTGGCTTTTGGTGTTGTTTCTGTTAGCGAGCAGCTGCTGCTTTTCATCTAATCTCAGCATCATCTGCATCCTCCTGTGTATCTGTCCGTGTCAGAGACATTGGTCAACACAGATCTCTGAACGCTCCGCATCATCATCCTTATCCTCAGCATTCCCTGAACAGGGCTGTGGCTCCGAATCTTCCACAGAGCTGTTTGACCAATGTCCTTCCTTATTTTCTGTGTTCACCGTATCTTTAAATTGCCAACTTTGCCTTTAACGTAAAAGTTTCTATGAACCTCGCCTAAGAGGTTAGACACTCAGGCGCTCTGTTGTTCTGCTCACCTCTCGGCTCCGTGTAATGTGCCTGCGATGTCAGCAGGTGACCATTAAACTGTGGTGATGTAATGTCAAGTTGCCACGTACTCGTTTGAAGCAAGCTGGTGTAAGGAGCTAACGTTGAACTCTTAGCCAGTCCCGCAGTCAATAACAACATTTCTCCTTGTCCCACATTTTCTTTGTGTTCATTTCATTTTGTTATTTTTCTTTTTATTATTTTTTCCTGTTGTCGTTGACACTTTAAAGATGGCGGGAGGGAGACCCGGCGGGACCACTGGCAGCACTCAGGTACCCCAGAACCCCCACTGCTACACCACCTCCCAACCCTCCAGTCCTACACTTTCTGCAGTAGAACAAAGCTGACAGACGTCCTCTGTGCTCAACATTTTCACACACCCCTAAATCTAACTCAGGCCCAGGGTTGTACTTACAATGTGAAGCGCCGTGATGCGATTACTGTTTTCATTTGGTACTTATAAAAGAACAAGCTGAGTATCTGCAGTGGAGCTCTAATTCCACACATCACCTCTGAACTGAGATGCAGTCTGGGGCCAAAGTGCTTCTCACAGCGCCATCTACTGGCTGCTTTAGCCTCCGCCACACCCCGGGTAATATAGCTGCTCCCAGCTGTGACGGTGTGTGTGTGTGACCACAGAGGTCAGTGCAGCAGTGTCTTGTGTAGTGTGGGGTTGCTTTTTGCTATGCCTTTCAACAAGGATTAGATCACGTGATTCAAGAACTACCTCTCACAGACACTGAATGTCCTGTGCATCATGTGCCTGGCTGTAGGTTCTGTCCTTATCAAAGCCACGGTTTGACCGCTTTAGCACGTGTCCCTCTCACGGTCAGCAACGGGACAGAGTGAATAAACACACTGGCACAGCAGCCTCCAACATGTCAGTCAGAGTCTGTAGGAGTTGTGTTAACAGGAACAGACTAAGATCGACCACACGGCGCTGAATGTCAGTGTTTGTCAGCTTCTAGTGATTACAGGGAAATAACCACGGGCCCATGTTGGTCATGAAAAGTGGATAGGTGCTTAGTTCAATGACTCTCACTCTGAGGCAACTTCATTGACCTGCTGACGCTGGGAATTAAGGATAACGCTGACTAATGGGAGAGAAAGGAGCGCCCACTGCCACAAACAGAAAGTGAAGCCGCAGCCTGGTAATGAGGCCTCGGTGTCAGCCTTCACAGCGATGGAAACAAAAAACTCCTAAAGACCTCATTTCACTTATTTCACAAATGGTGACGTTCTCGTGCAGCACAAATGTAGCCAGATCGGCATCACTGTCATCTATAATGAAAAACATGTCGTTTTCCAAAGCAGAGCTAAAGCTAGATAATCACATGCAGCTCGTTTATTGTAAATACAAATTGGAGATTTAGCAAATTTAGTTCCTTGTAAACATCTTGTGAATTGCACTGACTGCTGTGTTGCATAGTACTCTGCTGCATGTGTACAGTAAATCGTATTGAGCAGGTGTGCTTTCAGGGACAGGGGTTATCAGCGTGCAGACCCCTGAACACCTTCAGCAGAAATAGATCAGCAGGTGCAGCATTGTCTTTTGTACAACACTGGCTACAATCATTTGAGCGTACTGGTTTGTAGGTTTTCATCTACTTTACAGACAAATGCACCTTCATGTTCTCTGCAGCTCTGGGACCTCATTACCTAATATACCATAAGAAGCAGAATGACAGTGTCTTTGTTGCTGTGCGAGAGTCACAGTATCAGGATGTGCTGGGACAGTGATGCTGTCACTGATGAGCTCTCTCTAGCCTGAGATCAGCTCACTGCCCTGCACTCTGCAGCCTATAAAACCCAAGTTAAGGACAGCTCCAGTCATCCGTGTGTCATCTTCCATCACTGCTGTGGGGGCATCATAGCAATATTGTCCTTCCTGTCTGCTGTGGGTCATTTGAATGACGGTAGGCAGTGACCCTCAGTTGCAGTCGGGGCTGTTAACTTTGTGCTCTTTCACACCAACCCCCCAGCAGACTGATAGTGTTAGCTGTGCATCTTCACCCACCAAGTTAAGTAGTTTAAACTTCACTGACATGATTTCACATATTAAACTAGGCAACTGCATAATAGCTACTGTCTACCAGAAGCTTCTGTGCTGTCACTGGGACCCAAAGCCTGTCGGGTAACCTCAACACTGCACAGATGGAGGTTTGTTCCTGTCCACGTGATAAATAGGAACATTCTCTGAAACTAGAAAGTACAAAGTAAAGCCTGATGACTCCAGCCTGTTGCAGGGAGTGTTCGTGTCTGTGGACGTTCCTCTGACTGAAGCTAAACTCAGGCGTGTTTTAAATTAATTGCAGAAGTATATCAAGCAGTCATACATATCTGACTGTCGTATAGATACCATATAGAAGAACGGTGTGTTTGTAGTAGTTGTTTCAGTGTTCCTTTCTTACCTCATAATCTGTACAGTTGCTTCACACCCATGGTAGCCCAGTTACTTCTTTTGTTTGTTGATGTCATGTGTAAATGTGTCAGCCAATGCTTGATTGTGTGCAGCATACAGCTTGCCAGCCGTAACAGTGGAAACCAGACAATAGAATCTGATGTAGGCTTTACTGATGTTGTTGAGGTGCACGTACTGGTGGGTAAACTCAGACTTGTGTTTGTGATTCTGTAGATTCTGTTCATAAATTGAATTTGTTATTTATTTCTGTTTTCATTCTTGTAGAGTCATTACACACGAGCCCAGGCTAACAGCCCTCGCCCCATCATGACATCAATAGGCCCCAACTCTAAAGCCTCACAGGGCATGCTGGCCTCCCAACAACTGAGCCAATCGCAGCAGAGTCAGCAACCGGCCAGCCAATTACACCACTCGCCTGGTGGGAGCGGGCGGGAGCAGAGAGAGCAGCGCAACTCTCGTTCTTCCAGGAGGAAGGGATCAGATAGCAGCGTTCCAGAGGAGGAAAAGGACCGAAGAGAAGAGCCCGCAGGGCGAGGTGAGTCGGGTTTCATCACAAGAGAGCTAAAACATGCACACATGTGAAGGCGTTTCATGCAAGCGCTGCCACTTAAAACTCCAGCTAGTGGTTGGGGTAAAAAGCCCAGTTTCATGTCATATTGAGAACAATAAATCGAGTCAAACAGGACAAATATCATGCCTGTGTCTCAGTGAAATCACAACAGCATAAATGCTCACCTTTCACAAAGTGACTTCACCAGAATGTGATGTCACGGTGGCTTTCCCCATCTTTTATGTACAGTCTATGACCTTAACCTAACCTATGGAAAAAAGAAGCAATTTTTGGTCGCTGTGCAAAGGTTAGCTCAACGTAAGACTCGGACCAGACGTTAGATGTTAGATGTATTATGCACCATCATATTTAGTTTGTAGGTTTCTGTTCAGGAAAGTTTACTTTTGCGCCTCACCCATGTGTGTGGACCTGACCCAGTTTAGTGGCTAAACCAGTCCAACCTCTCACTGGCTCTGCGGCGATTATGGTCATGGTCAGACTGAGGTTTTACCTCCAGTGCTGAATATTAAAACTGTGCATTCTGACAGCCCCTAACAACAGGTGGGTGGACATGATGATTCAACAGTCCAACATATTAACAGAAAGTTGTGTGTGTTATGTGACTGTGCAAGTGTTCTTGTCTCTTTCCTTAACATCTGAGCAGCAGCTTGCCTTTGTTTTTGATACTGAAAATGTTTCAAATGTCTGTAAAGGAACCCAGCTACACGACGATCTGTCCAAAATAAATCTGTCGCTACCACGAGTCTCACACAGGTGCAGAATGATCCCACCTGTTTGTCGTTTGTTCAGAGCCCAAGTCCAAGGTGAAGCAGTCTGCGAACAAACGCAGGAAAGGTGACGAAGATGAGAAGAAGGCGGGTCCAAAGAAGCCGAAGACCGACATGACATCCGATCTGTCCGAGAGCAGCGACTCAGAAAATCCTCACAATAAGAGAGCCGCCCACTCCTCTTGCTCATCTTCTTCCTCCACCTCCTCATCTTCCTCCTCCTCCTCCTCTTCCTCCTCCTCAGAGCCCAACTCTGAGAACGAGCTAAAGACTCGCAGCGACGTGAAACCAAGTGCCATTTCTAAAATGGAGGAGGGCGAGAAGCCGCTTCTGCAGGGACCCAAGACCAACGATTCCTCGTCTGTCATTGGCCGCCTGTCTCCATGGGCGGAGCTTCAAGCAACAGAGGATGTCAAAAAGAGCGTAGTGAAGGAAACGAGCAAAATGTTATCAAAGGAAGACGAGGAACTGGTCGCCGTAACGCAGATCACCCAGTCTCCACGGCAACAGACGCCGCTGATGTCTGATGTTGTCCAGGGCGGCGTTCTGGAGAACAGCAAGAACACTGTGAAAGGTGAGCTGCTGCAAGTTTCTCATCTCTGACGACGCTTCAGTGTTCTTACTTTGATGTGTTTTGTTTTAGCGTCGTCTCGATCCCAGACGCCGTCGCTGTCCCACCTCCACAGCGCCGGTGTGATTGACATCACAGATGACGCCCAGGCCACCGTGCACCGCGAGAGCTCAGAGGCTGTGTCGGCACTGCTCGCTTCCGAAAAGGCCGAGTCCACGGCCCTTTCGCCTTACCTCTCTCTCAACCCTTCACCCGTCTCCTCGCCTCCTGTAGCGCCGTCTCCCTCGCCATCGGAGGGAGGGCGCAGGACGGAGATGGAACCTCCCGTGCAGCATCAAGGCATCTTGGGAGGCGGCGTTACGGCGACTAAGAGTGTAAGCAGCAGGCTGGAGTTTGCGTCCTCTGAGGTCATCAGGTGAGTGCAGACAATGTTTTAAATATTTCAGCTCACGTGTTTTTACCTGATGCTGGGACGGCGCCCGAGCGACATGGACGCCTGTGACAGAATGAAGCGACGTACGAGTTTAAATTGATACAATAGCTGTTATCTCAAGGTCAGGGGTCAGAGGTCAAGGTTTCTGAAAATCTGGTGACGGCGATAATTCGAGATCAAGGCGACATATTCTATTGAAATTCATCCCGTAGGTGTGGTGCCTGAGCTGCGGCTGTAAAAACATTAATGTGGTGGTGATCCAGCTGTGGAGTGGGACTACTTTTCCCAGGGCCTTTTCCTTACTCCAAAACCAGGAGTTGGAATTATTTCCGGTGCTGTTTGATCGTAGAGCTCAACCACTGCTGGATTTGTGGGCCTATTTTAGGAGAGTAAAACACTTTTTTATATTAAAATATTAGCAGTCAACACAAGTTTAGCAAACACAATGGATCTCTGGTCATCAAAACTAGAACCACATCTGGCACAGCTGTGATCGCGGCCTGCTCTGGCTCCTAGCTACTGCACATTTGTGGCTTTGTGATTCCCTAAAACCTGCAGATTGAGGGAGATACTGAACTTTGTTTTACCTGGTATGCATAAATATATATTCTTTACGTATGTGTTTATTCCTCCAGTGTGCTTTGTGTACCAAAAGTATTGCTCACTTAGCCAAGATGTAGGGCAGCGCACTGGATGGTGGATGTCACTGTTAAATAGAGCAGCCCACTAGGACCCCTCTGTGTTTGCATGTTTTTGCCATTCATGTAGACTCTTTCTGGTTACTGTAGGCTCCAGTGCAAAGACATGAATGTTAGGTTCCCACCTTCTCTCACCTTTTGTAGCCTTGAGATAGACTAGCAGCATGTTTAGGATGCACCCTGCTGTTTCTCCTGTCACACTTGGATAGACCTGTGACTAGGCTAACAGGAAGTACATGGATAGATGGAAAAATGACCTGGTCGGGTCAGGGTTAGACAAAGTGGACTGAGGATCTGAAACTGAAAAAGAAACGTGTCCCAGTCCTGGATCGTAACTGAATGCAATCACAGAAACCTGCCCTGGACCACATGGTGATCTGAGGACTTCTCTCAACGTTTAACTTTATAGTCTTTCAAATATGGTCAACATCAAACTTGCTTCTTACTTTTCCTGCTGTGCTTTTTTCCCAGGCCTGTCACATCTATAGCTGAAAATGTGTTGCTGGTGGAAAAGGAGAAAAATGTCCTTCCTCACCATCATCTTCATCAGCAGCAGCACCATACACTACAGTCGTTCCACGCTGGCATGAAGAGTCCCTCTTTATCTGAAGAGACAAGAAAGCACCCTCAGCAGCAACCAGCCCCCCACAAGATGAACACGGTGCTCCCCCCTGACATATCTAAACCTCAGATCAGCTCCAGCCCAAACCCCGGCTCAGCTCACCTGGATTCCCTGAAGCAGAAATCCCGCCCCGACAGCTCTCAGAGCCCTTCCTACCCCAACGCAAGTCAAGCTGATCTCGTCAAAGCTAAGGCCCACGCAGGCCTGGCGGACATCTCTAAACCTAAACCTAACACCTCCCCCGAGGTATCTAAACATAAAATGTTGAGGTACTCGGATACTTCCCCGCCTCCACCGTCTCGTTTGCCAGTTAAAATAGAGTTGGCAGAACCTCCGCGGTCTGGCTTCAAGCCAGTGCGGCTAGAGTCGGGCGCGGTCAGTACGAGCAGCAACACAAAGAGTCCGCTGATTATCAAGAAGAATGAGCCCTTCACTGTTTACAGAGACCCAGCTCTGGTTCGCTCCGACGCAGAGAACTCCGCCTCTGCAACAGTCTCATCCAATCACGTGGCAGCCTATCTCCATCCCCACCTGCACACGTTGCACTCCCCCCACTCGCCCTGCCTTACCCCTGCGTCACACCCCCACGCAGCTTCCCATCTCCTTGCTCCTGCTCACACCTCCGCCCTGCCTCACCCACACCTTTTGCCTCCCACTGTGCTCCCAGCCATGGCCCCTCCTGCAGCATCTCTCCACCCTCGACTCGACTCTCCGGGAGGTCTGGGTCACCTTGCTCTGCCCCACCAGCAGCAGTACCTACAGGTGTGCCTCCTGTGTGCTGCAGTCCTGTACTGTGGAGAAGAGTAGTGTCTTTGTCTTTTTACCCTCATTAAAGAAAAGCTAAAGATGCGTCTGTGTGTTTCAGGGCCAGGGCCACCATTCGCCATCTCTTCTAGCCCAAGCTCACAGCGGGGCTGCAGGACTTGGTCTGTACCCAATCCTGTGGCAGTACCCCAACGGAACGCCAACGTCCTACCCACCAGGGCTCAACCTGGGTGGACCCACGGCTAAGTGGGTCCACCCTGAAAATCCTGTTACTGTGAACTCTGAGGCCTCTCTCAGGAGGGTAGGTGTACAGGAGCACCCATGTCAGCGTGTTTGTGTTCATATTTCCACTGGTGAACAAAGATAAAGGATGTGGTAAAGGCGAAGGAAAGCTTTGGTTCGCTGCTGTGGTTTCCAAAGGCTGTTTTTTTCTTTAACACTGGCAGATGCTGTTGCTCCCCTGGTTTCCTATAAGCCTGTTGGCCATGAGCATGATGTGTGACACAATAATGAAATAAGACGCTCACCTGTAAAGCCCCAATGCACGTCGCTGAGCTCTATGGATGGATCTGTGAAAGTCTGCACCTTCCTAAAAATGCCTTCACAGCACTACAACGCTACATTGATCCTAGTAATAGCAGTAGTACAGAGCTTTGTGATACCGAAGCCTGCCACCTTGTGGATTATATTTTAACAACATACAACTGGCTGGTGTGAAAGGAATTATTCTTTTAGTATTTTAATGGTGTGTAGCGCTTGTTCAGTTTTATGTTTTAGTCGTCTAAACCATAATTAACAGGTCAGGTGACCGATCTGTTTCTGGAGCTGGTGCCAAAGTAACACCAGTTGTGTGTTCATTCAGGAACGTAGACTTTAAACTGACAGCCTTGAAATGTCCACTTTCACATTTAGCATCAGTTGCAGGCGTAGAATGGGTGTAAAAGAGCGATATAGCATCTGTTTCTGAGAAATGCAGACGATTACGATGCACCTTACACCTCCAGTTATTTCTCATTTCCAGCAGGAGCTTCACTGGTGACCAGAGGTTTACGTGACCTTTTGCTGTCTTGCTCTGTGACCTCAGTAAAGACATGTGACTTATAAATCACAGGTTGTTAGCTAGTGAGCGTGCAGCGTCCCTCAGATCCACAGTTCGTATTCCCGGGATTGTGACTCGCTGACGACGTTTGGTTTTAAAAAGCTGAGCAGACTAAAGTCCTCCCTGTGTGGAGTGGGTTCACCAGTGGGTGACATCGCAGTGACTAGTCCAATCCAGGGAGAGTTTCTGGCTTCAGGTTGCATTAGTCATTATTCTTAGTCCGTGGAGGAAACCTGGGGTCGGACCCCTTCATGTGCAGGCTGATGACATCCAGCAGCTTGTTCCCTCCATCTGTATTCCAGAGTTTGGTGTAATTGTTTGAGTGTGATTATTAGAAAGTGCTGTGTGTAGGTGTGCGTTGTTGAATGTGACTTAAAACACTCAAAGCAACAACACAAATATGTTTTAGGTGAGCAGAAAAGTGGAATACAAGGCCTTTATTATCGGTCCATATCAGCCCATTAACCATTTCATGTTGATTAGAGGAAACGCACAATCAGCCGACGACACCTGCCACCTTCTTCTTTTATCTTTCGGCCGCTCTCTTCATGGGTGGATCGTTACCTTCATCTCATCCTGTCCCTAGCATCCACGCCCCTCCTCTGAGCTCCTCCCCTGATCAGCCCTGTATAGTGATAATACACAACCCTGCATGTGTCTCTAAAACGAGGCGCGCTTCCAAAGGTAAAAACATATTTGTTAACCATGAAGTGAAGGATGGTCAGAGCTGAGGACGACTGACGTGACACCTTTAAACTTGACTAAATATATTCAGTAGTTTTAGTAAACAGGCTGCACAAACATGTTCCAATCATATATATGAAACATACTGTGAGAAAAAAAACTATCTAAACATTTACAGTCAGTGTGATTCATGACATGTTTTAACATTATTGCTGTTAGGTCAGACAAACTGGCTGTCTGTCAGTATCTTCATATTCATAGCATATCATGGCCTGTGAGGCTGGATTCCAGCTTTTGCATCCAGAAAGAAAAATGAATAGTTGTGCACAAACTAACAGACAGCTGCTGCATAAAACATCATGTTCAGTATTAGCATGCATTTTAGAGGTGGGAATCACCATACATCCCACGATGCGATATTATCACGATACTTAACGCACGATACGATATTATTGCGATTTTTAAAAATATTTTGCGATATTCAGATTCTGTAGATAAAGGTAAACTTTATCAATATTAATTTTATCTAATATCAAAGTCTCACACTCAGTCTCTCATTTCAGTTTTATTGTTGACAAACTGAACGGTTTGTATTACAGTCTAGTCCAACTGAACTGAATGCAACCATCTGGTACAATTACAGCTATTCTGAACTATGCAATATGAAAACTATGCAGCCCCTTCAGCAACTGAAGAACTTGAAAGTAAATTAAAACAAAATATAAATTTACATTAAATAAAAGTTTTAAACGTAATTAAAATAAAACATGTCTTAAATTAAAATAAGTAAACTGTCATGTTTATTGCTGCCAAAAACAGTTAAACACATTTGGACAGTGAAGGATTCTTGCTCAGAAAAAGGACCAACATGCTCTGAAGTCAGAGCACCAAAACCTTTTTTGTAACAAAATATCGATTTCTGCTGTCCCCGCATCGATACATTATTAGCAAACAAAATATCACGATACTACACAGTATCGATTTTTCCCCCACCCCTAATGCATTTATAGTTCCTGTATCGAGTATTACTGGTTAAAAGTAATGAACTGTGTTACCCACACATGCGCCGAGAGAGCCTGAACCCTGTTCAGCTGGAACTGAAAGCTCATGTCAGGTTCGTTCACCCAAAGGTGAATTACAGCATCTGTTAAAGATACTTTCCACTCAGGACCCAAGACTTTTATTTTCATACATGTCCTGGTTGAACTGGATTGTTCGTCATACTAATCAAAGCTGAAATAAAGCTGGTTTTCCCAGCTGTGTTGTTGGACCTCTGATGAAGAAGCCTGTGTTAAAAAAGCTACCGGCCAATCAGACGCGTGTGTCTAAGGCACATAATAACCTCCCCCCATTATTGGTTGGCCACATGTTTCCTCACGTAGTTTTTTGCCATGAGCAGAATAACATTGGTGTTTTTGTTTGTGTGTAGAATGCTGCCAGTCCATGGCTCCATAAGACTGCTGCTGCTGACAGTTTGGGAATGCTGAGCCACGTTCCTGTCCGGCCAGCCAGCGCCGATGCCCACCGCCCCCCCGTCAAGATCGCCCACACGAGCCCTCCGTTGTCAAAGACCAGCATGGATCTTCATAAAGAGTAAGCAGAAAGATCAGTGCTGTAGTTAAAGCTGCACCGTCACTCTGTCACCAAACCCGCATTAATACTGATGAAACCTGGAATCGTTGTTTCTCTGCATTTCAGTGAAAACTGAAAATATGAACTTGTGAAAACAAAGAGCTGCTGATGTTTGATGGGTTACACCCTGCAACACCAGATGAATGAATGACGTCCGTGACACAGACCGACAGTCCCACAGTAGCTGATTTGTGTTTCCCACCTGTGTTTGTGTCCTATGGAGGGAAAAGCTCAAAACGTTAGAGGAGGTGATGGCGAGGTAAATCAGGCTCAACTTCTACAGATCAGAGGACAGATTATGGATGGTCGGATTAAGCGTTGACTTAAAAACACTTAATTAACATAAAGATCGTAGTTTGGCCACGTTGCCATTGTGACTTGTTGTTATTGAAGAGTGGAGAAAATCCACACTGAGGAAAAGAACTACTTCCTGTCAAACCAGACGGTCTCGCAGGTCACGGTACTCTAAGGAGTTTCTTCATTCTCCTTACAACACAAATGTTTGTGTTTCACTTCTTACTGAACCTCACACATGAAATGAAAACGTGCACTGAGGGGAAGCAGGAAATTCTTTGGTGGCTTCAATATGCATTAAAAAGTTAACTACTGTGGGTAAAAAAGAAGCACAAAGTATAGGAGCCGCTGAATATTTGCTTTGGACATTTGAACTCCTCTTTACTTCAAAAGCTCCATGTTCAAAGAGCTCTCACAGAGCAGACCTGAGGTGGCTCTGAGCTGCGGGGAATACCTCAGATGAAGTGGCACTAACGCCGTACTGAAGCTGTCATGAACCGTAGTTCAGCACACAAGCTGGACCCAGAAGCAGAGACACACGCCAGGGTGCACGCAAAAAAATTTATTTTAACTAAGGGTGTCCCGGAAGGGTCAAAGGAAAACACGCCAGGTAACTAGAAAACCAAAGGACCGGGAAATAACTCAGGAACGCCGTAATCGGGACTGTGAGAGGCTGCAACAGAAAGAGGAAGAGGGTTACTGGGGAAGGGAGAAATAACAGCATACGTGGGTAGAGAATTAATCTTACGGTTCAGACGGGGCCGTGGGAACCGGAGGGAGGGCTGAGGGTCCGCGGGGAAACTCCAGGTGAATAGAGGAGACGAGTGCCGGTAGTGATCCAAAAACTCCAGGCGGGCAGGAGAGGGCTCCAAACACGCCGAGTTGTTACCTAAGCGCACAAGGAAAGGGTTAGCGTTTGTTCCAGCAAAAGAGAATTTCGCAACCACCTTCACGTGGAAGCATGTTACCGCTGAGAGGTGACTAACGGACTGGCGTGGAGCAGCTGGCAGAGCTGGGTTAAATGGTCCACCTGATCGCCTGGGATGGGATGCAGGTGTGGAGTCGACAGCCACACGCGTGGGCGTGGGCATCCCATCAGCTCCTTGGACACCGGCCGCGGACCATGACAGAAGCAGTCTACCCAGAATGCCATTCATTCAGCAGCTTGTAGCCGCCTTACACAACCAACATCACTGACTACCCAACACAAAACATGGCTGAGGTTAAACCATCCATCAGTTGTTTCTGAGTCATGAACACTGACCTGCACACACACAGTTAGATCTTTCCAGTAGGAGCAGTTGTTGAAAAAGATGGTAAAAGCTTGTTTTATGAAGTTGAATATCTGTCCTGTCCGTGTGCAGAGATGTGGATAAGAAAGGCTACGTGGATCCCATGAGGACAATGACACTGGCACAGCTGAAGCAGGAGCAGACAGACAGAAGTCGCACTCCAACAGGAAAAGACGTCCATCTGCACCGCCTTTACCTGGATCCCCACAGCAAGGCCCGTCTGACCAGTCCACAGGTACGTGGCTGCTCGCACACTCTCCTGATAAATACTCATTTTTAAAGCAGATGGAAGAAAGGCGGGTTGAGAGTAGCAGACACATTCAGGCATCAGAGTCGTATATTTGTCTGTCATGTGTAAATATTAAAGCACATGGGCCATATCAGTGCGGTACCCTGTTGTTATCACTTTGTTAAGAAGCAAAGCTGATGCTCCACAGACACTTTCAGCTAAGCTTACATGTCAAATGCCTTTTCAGACATTTATTTTCCATTTGATTAAAGTCTATGGATCGTCTGGCCCTTGCTTCCCGTTTCTCAGTGTAGCCCTCATTTAAACTGACTGTGATGGCCGTGGTCTCTGTTTTAGTGACAAATGTAGGAGAAAGTGTGAGAAGCGTTTCTTGCAGCGTTTCTGTTTTCTTCTCAGGAGGCGCTCCAGGCAGCAGACCGAGCCTGCAAATACAAAGAGGAAAATCGTCAAATCCTGAAGGAGAGCATTGAGGTCGCTCCCTTCACGGCTAAAATACAGCGCTCCGTCGACCCTGCGATGGACAGGGACAGAGAGAGAAGCAGAGATTCGAGCTTTTGTGTTCGGATGCCGGGTCTTCCCTCGCCAAGCCCCAAGACTAGCCACGCCCTCACTCATACCATGCAGTCAGAAAAGAGCAACTATTACACCACACTGTCTAACAGTGTGGTGAATGAGCCTCCCAGACTCTACCCCTCCAAAGATGTCGGTCCTTACTATGACAAAGTGTCGATGGGGGCCCCGGGGGTCGTGGCCGGTGTTGGGGCCGCCGTGCAGAGCCCAGGAGCTCTGTCGATGAGCAGCTACCACACCAGCTCCAAAAACTCCCTCTCCAAGCCCCCTCCTCTCATCAAGCACCAGCCGGAGGGAGGAGAAGGTTTAGCGGGGAAAATCACGGAGCAGCTCAGTCAGCAGGTGACCCTCGTTCAGCCGCAGCATCAGCTCCACGCAGGCGTAGACAGGATAGACCGTCGCAGCCCTGCTATTTCTCCTCCTTCCTCCACGTTGTCCTCTTCATCTTCAGCCTCTAACCAACACCATCACCATCATCACCTGCAGCAGCAGCAACAGCTCAGGGCAATGCCATCTCTCCACCGAGCACCTGTCTTCCATCCACCCACACAGCACGCGCTGGAACGCAAAGAGGCTGCAGAGAGGGAAAGAGCCGCGCACGGTGGACGCCTCTCTCCACCAACCCTCACTCCCATTCAGCCAGTAACTGGTAGCAAAACATCAGCAGAGCAGCAGAAGCCCCCCACGTTGCTGCCAGAGCTCAGGGACATCAAAGGTCACGGGACTGCTGCTGCCATCACCTTTGTGGCCTCTGCCGGAGAGATGGCGGCTCCATCCGCAGATGGGTGCAAAGGCAGAGACTTGATCGGGGAACGAGGAGGGGTGTGCTCTGGAGATAAGGGGTTCTCTAAAAATAAGCCCCAGTCGGCAATGGCATCGGTCATTGTGCGATCGTCTATAAAGTACGACAGTCCCGTTGGTGCTAAGAAATCTGGTGCTCTTATCCACAAAGAGCTCCCCCAGGGGAGGTTCTACACATCGAAGTTTCAGGACGAATGTCCACGAGAACCTGCAGCAGGTAGGGTCATCCAGCCTAACTTGAACCTGGAGGGTTATAAAAAGACTCCTGTGCCAGGTGTGTCAGGACCTGTGGGAGCCGGTGCTACAAACTCTGTGTGCAGGACTGCCATTTTAGTCTCCTCAGCTTTTGGCTCTCAGAGTAAAACCAGGAGCACTACTCCTGAGCCAGTTTACTCGGCTCGATGTGACTTTGCAGCGCTCAAACCTGGCACTGGGGGTCGGGTGCTCTGCCATATAAGACCAGAGACGGAAAAGGAGCTCCAGGAGGGCTTTGGCTCACACGCATCTCCAGGTGTCTCTCTGAATCCTGCGAGTGTAGCAGGAGCACCCCGCCCCAGCCCAAGCCTTACCCCAACACCTAGCTCAATCTCTGGCTCGAGTCAGCCTTACGCCTCTTCGTTTATCCACCTCAAGAAGCACAAAGCTGCTTTAGCTGCGGCACAGTCCAGAAGCAACCTTTCTACTCCTCCCTCGTCAGTCACAGCTGAAAATTCTTCCTTAACTGTGGATTCCACTGAGAAAACCCCCATTTCCAGCTCCCCGCCTCCACCTGCTACTAGTCAGGCCTCCTCGGTCTCGTTTGACAGCAGCAGCAATAGCTCAGCGAGCAGGAGTACCACACCAGGCAAGTCAAGTCCCCTGCTTAATGGCCAGTCCCTGGGATCAGCCTTGCCGAGCTCTGCGCAGCCCAACAACTACCACAAGCTGAAGAAAGCCTGGTTAACCCGGCACTCCGAGGAGGACAGGAACACCGCTACCACTACAAGCTCCAGTATGAAAGTGGAGAAAAGTCCGAGCACCACTACCACAAGCAACACAGCAGCCATGTCAGAAATGATCAAGCCCTGTACCGTCAATCTCAGCGCCTCCACCTCCAACGAGGTCGAGATGAGCAAAGACATTGGAAGCAAAGGTGACAGAGACAGACAACCTGAGGACAAGTTGGCCGGAGCTCCAGGAGGCGGGGAGGAGAGAAAAGTGGGGTCAAGGAGGGTGAACAAACGCACATACGAGTCTGGTTCGGAGAGCGGGGGAGATGATTCTGACACCAGCGAGAGCAAGATGGAGGGCCGAGCCAAGCGTCAGCCTAAACCGACCTACAAGAAGAAGCAGAACGACATGGCCAAGAAGAAAGGAGACAACGACAGAGAGGAAGACGACGTGAAGCCCAACGGCATCTTCAGATCAGCCCGAGAGAAGACTAAACTCAAACTGGCCAGCAGCAGTAAGTCCTCGCTCGTGTCTCGCTGTAGGTTTGTGTCACTGCTGTTAGGGAGCATGCAACAGTGTTTTTGTCACAGCAGTGCAACTGGGAGCTGTGGGGGTAACATTTACACAATGAATGGCCACATGATCAGTGTTAGCCAGAGTCTCTCACGTGTTCTCGGGAAGCTCGAAGGTGAAACTGTGTAACAGATCAATGAATCATCCTCCTCCTGAACATAACACGGGCTATATTTGCAAAATGAGCAACTGCGATCATAAACTCAGGGAGTAGTTTCGCCGTGCTCATACTCACGCACACTTTAAAGAGTCTGAATATTCTTTCTGAGCACAGCTTTAGTATTTCTGCATGGCTTCACTTTCCAGAAGCATCATCGTGCATGTTATACAGAGTCCAGGTGAAGGTGTTGTTTGATGTAACAATTACATTTATAAATGAGTATATGTGTCTGACACAACCTGCAGCTCAGCCTGACAGGCACGTCCTGTGCAGTAAGGTTTCCTTCATTATGAGCTTCTGCCTCTTTTTTGTTATTATTCTTTTGTAAGTATATTTAAACTTGTCTTTCTTGGCACTGCAGGGACTGCTCTTAATTCTGTTGTTACAGTGACAGTGAAGATATTCTGATACACAGGAATGAGTTATGACCTCCCAGCTTTAGCTTCATTATCACATAAAAGGTTGTTTGTGTAGATGCTAAACAGCATGTGTGGCATGAAGCACCCATGTGACTGCTGGTCTCATATGTTCTATCAGAGGATATAATATTCATTCTTTCTGAAGGGAAACTGCTTGGATGCTTTTCTTAATCAAATGTTATTTATTAAAGTCACATTACTCAGAGGGAGTTCTGTAACTTCAGATGAGAGAAAATGTGACAAAGACGTGAGCGCGTCTCCTTCTACACCCTGCTTATAAAGAAAATCTCCTCTTTTATCTGATGTATTTTCTGTGTTTCTCTTGACGAGCAACTCTATGTTAATATTTAAAAATGAAGCGTAGTCACAGTTAATGATTATGATGTTATGCATGTTAGATGGGATCCCTCGCTCTGTGCTCAAGGACTGGAGGAAAGTGAAGAAGCTGAAGCAGACGGGAGAGTCCTTCCTGCAGGATGATTCATGTTCAGAAATTGGCCCCAACCTGCAGAAGTGTAGGGAGTGCAGGGTGGTCCGCAGCAAGAAAGGGGAGGAGCCCGCTCACTCCCCCGTCTTCTGTCGTTTCTACTATTTCAGACGGTAAAGCACTCACTCTATGAACTCTCCTGCTTTATCTGTGCACTGGCGTCTTCGTAGAGTGCCACACCTGCTGAGATTTACCTGAAATGATCCGTCCAGGTCATATTGATGTTGTTGTTTCCTCTGTGGTAATAAAGTCTTTGTTTGAAGCAGGCTGCCTGGGTGTTAGACAGTTTCACCCTGGTTAACACGAGTCAGACTATTGAACTTTGTGTGTAACAAGTTAACAGTTGTTTGTGACATCAGGCCTCTTTTGTGCTTCTGTTTGAGAGTAAAAGCTGCTTTAGTGTGTGTGTGTGTTTCTGGAGTCTGGCACTTTAATGCTGGATTCAGAATAACGTCATGTTTAAAACTACATGCGCTTTAAAAACATGTCACACTTTTGGTTTCTTCTCAGCTATTTGATTAAGACTGTAAGGACAGAAAACAAGCAACATCTGTTTTTTTGTCACCAAAAACACGTCCGAAACCAAAATACAGTCACTCACAACCTTCTTTGAACATTTTTATATTAGATGTGCTTCTTTCATCAGCTTCCTCTTTGGACAGCCAGCCTACACGTGTTCACCACCTTACTGAGAGAGCCTTCATGTTTCTTCTCATCTAGGCTTTCCTACAGCAAGAATGGCGTCATCCGGATGGATGGCTTCTCCACTCCAGACCAGTTTGACGATGAGGCCCTCAGCCTGTGGGTCCCGGGGCCGATGGAGCAGAGCCACCTGGACCAAAGCACAGCCAAGTACATCCTGAGCTTCATAGGAGACAAGTTCTGTCAGATGGTTGCAACAGAGAACACTGCATCCAGCTGGATTAAGAAGGATGGTAAGTTTTCTCAAAAATAGTGTCAGAGTTTAGATTAACACGTCTTAGCGTGTTTTCCTCTGAACCTTTATCGTGTGTTTCAGCCAAGCTGGCGTGGAAGCGAGCAGTGAGAGGGGTGAGGGAGATGTGTGACGCATGTGAAGCCACACTTTTCAACATCCACTGGGTCTGTCAGAAATGTGGCTTTGTCGTCTGCCTAGACTGCTACAAGGCCAAGGAGAGAAAGAGCTCCAAAGGTCAGTGTGGGTATTTGGACAGTTCACCAAAAGTCAGAAGCGGTTGAACCGGAGCAGAACCGGAGTCTTTTTCAGCAACATGCACGTGTATGTAACCTTTCTCTCCACTGTGTCTGAGTGTGTTCACTGCGTGACTTTTTTCTCACTATGATCAGATAAAGAGCTGTATGGATGGCTAAAGTGTGTTAAAGGCCAACCCCACGACCACAAACACCTCATGCCCACCCAGATCATCCCTGGCTCAGGTACAGTCCATCCTAGCTCTTTGTGTTGCTATTTCCCTGAGCAACAGCTGGTGTGTAGTTTTATGACTGAATGATACTTTTCAGCACAATTATTTAATATTGTGTGTTTGATTTTGATGTTTCAGTGCTGACAGACTTGGTGACGTCCATGCACGCCCTGAGAGAAAAACACAACATAAGCTCTCACTGTCCCTGTGCCAGCAAACAGAACCTTCTCACCAAACTGCCTGCCACCAACGGAGTCTCACAGGTACCACACCCTCTTCCAGTCAATGACATCCTGACTCACTGTCAAGACTTTCTGAAGAGGTGGTGAATTTAAAATGTGCAGAGTTCAGGTCAGAAAAACCTGTTAGCTGTGCTTTTGTGGCAGGTCGCTCACTGCTGAAAAGCAGCATAGTGCGATGCTGCCTGTGATTGTTAGTGGTGGTAATGTAGAGTGAGATGGGTGCGTGGCCCAACACGCTGAGAGTTAGCTGAAATGAACCTGACATGTATGTTGTTCAGTATCACAGGACCCCGGGCTTTGGATTTCTTCAGGTTTGTAGTCACATTTCGATATAGAGATAAAGGCCTGTGTGTTTGCTCAGCAGTGCGTACACACAGAGCTCTGCAACACTGCATATCTACTTCCTCTGACATTGGATTTGTGTTACATTGAAAACACTTGTGCTCTGCCTCTGACTCATTTCATTAATTTCCATGATACAGAGCAGAACATGTAATTCCACAGGATGGTGCAGCAAGTCAGTCTGGCCTTGACTGCAGCACAAAATGATGAATCGCAGATGGTTTATTTATACAACAGCAAATCACAACAGCAGGCGCCTCAATGCGCTTTATATAGTAAGGGCGACCCTACAATAATACATACAGAGAAAAATCCAACAGTCATATGACCCCCTATGAGCAGCACTTTGGCGACAGTGGGAAGGAAAAACTCCTTTTTAACAGGAAGAAACCTCCAGCAGGACCAGGCTCAGGGAGGGGCGGGGCCATCTGCTGTGATTGGTTGGGGTGAGAGAAGGAAGACGGGATACAGACATGCGCTGGAATGACAGCTCATAAGACAGATATGTTAAGTGGGACCACTGGAACATGAGTGCTGTCACCAGTAAACCACATTTGCAATGCAAAGAAAAGAAAAGATAAAATGGGATCAAGAGAAAAGAATAGCTTTCACCAGTGGGCATGACTCGTAAAGCAAAACAATAGATGATAGATATCGATCGGGCCATTCACAGCTGTAAGCACTGACCGTCTAACGTCATTGACAACGTTTTCTAAGTGATAGGTAGGGTGGGGGCAGTCTTTTATGACATTGTTATGATGCTACATTTGTAGCACAGACTAGATCAACATGTGTGGGTCGCTGTGGTCCACTGCTGAGTGAGAGACACAGGACCTGCAGCCGACACCAGCCACACCGAGTCATGGTTAATAGCTTTTACATACAGAAATGGCATCATCGGTCCAGCAGTTACTGCACTAGAGTTACTCATAGACTGTGGTTTAGTAGTAAGTGAACCGAAAACAGGTGCTATTATCTGGGCTCTTCTATCTAATGAATGGTGGACTTTAAGCAGGCTTAACAGTAGTTTTCTAACAGCTTTGTGGTTGAACTAATAATACAATAGCTGTATGTGGTGATCATAGCTATCTATTAACCTGTAACCCAGGGGATATCAATACTGTGGACAGGCATTTTGCTTGGTCACTGTTTAAATAAAGTTTATTCTTCCTCTGACATGAAGGCTTTGTGATTTCATGCAGTTAAGCGAGTTCATCCAACTGTTCCTTCTGTCCAGGTTCTGCAGAATGTTCTGAATCACAGCAACAAGCTGTCCCTGGTGAAAGCTGAGCCAGGCTCTCTGCAGACTTCTGACCTAGGAGGAGTTAAGTCAGAAACTAACGGAGGAGGTGGTGGAGGAACCAGTCCAGGTAACGACAGTGCAAATGCTCCCATCACCCCGCCAGAGTCCCAGTCGCCTCTGCACTTCCTGGCAGACTTGGCAGAGCGGAAATCCAGGGAGGAAAAGAAAGGTGAGAGGAACAGAAGCCACAAATTATTATTAATAATCCGTCCACACCATTAACTCTTTAAGTTTAAATGTTTCGCTGAATGTGTAGTTTGGCTCCGTCCTCTTTTTGTAACAGAAAACAAAGAGTCGGTGGTGCTGGGTAAATCTGTGAAGGAGGACAAAGAAGGGGACAGCCTGGAAGTCCTGCAGCAGTGCAAAACCCCCTCACTGGGTAACAGTACAGAGCAGGGCTCCACACTCAGAGATCTCCTCACCAGCACAGCAGGGAAGCTGAAGCTGGGCTCCACTGACGCAGGAATAGCCTTTGCACCGGTCTACTCCACTGCTTCACAGGTACACAGAGTCTGCTGTGCTCAGTGTTTAAATATGATTCATACACTTCTGTTTTTGGATGTAAGAGGATGTTTGTGTGCAATCATTTATTTTTTTATTTATTTAAGCTGCATCTATTCTTTTAGATTTTTGCTCCAAGGAGCCAGACTTTTGTGTAATTGTCTAAAGCGGCCTCGAGCCATAGTTCTCCCGTCTCTCTGAAACTCTTTAAAGTTTATCTTTGGACATTGGCTGCTTTTTCAATCCAGTCCTACCCAACCACTTCCCATGTCATAATGTAAAGAAAGGAAAAAGAAACGGAAGCCACAGGTTTTTATTTCCTGTAATATGTGTGATCCTCTTTCCTTTTTCTGTAGACTGGGAAGGGTGGGCGGAGCATGCCCAATATCCTCGATGACATCATTGCTTCGGTTGTAGAGAATAAAATCCCCGCCAGCCGCCAGAACATCACCACTAAGTTGTCAGCGAAGCAAGAGCCCATCACCCTAAGTATCAACAATAACGCCCCAGCTGAGGAAGCCAAAGCAGAGAAGAAGAAGTCAGCACCTGTTACTGCAGCAGAAGCGGAGGACTCGAGCAGTCAGCATCCAGACATCCCTCACTGCTGGCTGAACAACAGACGGCTACTGTGGCTCAGAGATCACCGCAACCAGAACAACTGGAAGCTCTTCAGAGAGTGTTGGAAGCTCGGACAGGTGCACATCCGTGTACAGCAAGTCGGTTTAGCAGTGCTCCACTAAGTTTTATCACCCTGGTGTTGAGATGCATTGTGTGTCTTGTGTGTTTGTGTAGCCGGTGCTGGTGTCTGGGATCCATAAGCGACTGAATGCCAGTCTGTGGAAGGCCGACTCCTTCAACCAGGAGTTTGCAGACCATCAGGGAGACCTCCTGAACTGCAAAGACCAGGTGCTGTCCAACTCTGGGATCAAGGAGTTCTGGGATGGATTTGAAGACATCACCAGTAAGTTCATCTGTATTTAGCCTTGTGAGCATTACTATGGTAAACCATCAGTGACCAAGTCTGACTGGATCCTTTGCAACTGTTCAGAGCGACCAAAGTCCAAAGATGGCGAGCCCATGGTTTACCGACTGATGGACTGGCCATCTGGAGAAGAGTTTATGGCCCTCATGCCTTCAAGGTACACAGCACCGGTGTTGATCCTCAGACTGCTTTTAAAAACAAAGTACGTAAATGACTCAGTAGTGACGACGAAGCCGTCTAAATACAAGTATTCATTGCAGATATGATGACTTGATGAAGAACCTGCCTCTGCCAGAGTACTCTGATCCAGAAGGGAACCTCAACCTGGCTTCTCACCTGCCTACATTCTTTGTCAGGCCAGATCTGGGGCCAAGACTCTGTTGTGCCTATGGTAAGAGGAGCCGTCAGTTTATATCTAGCAGTGCCAGATTCTGCTCATCAGAATCAACTTTCTGGGGCTCATTGTGACATTGATTTCTTTGTTCCTACAAAGAAACTTGAAAATGATGCTGAGTGTGTCAAGGTTGCCTCCACGTTCCCAGTTGGAGTCGAGGTTTCCCAGAAAACCATTTTCTTTGAGAAGAAAGCCCTCCCACCAACACTAGCTGTTATTTTGAGTTTCAGTCCCCAGGACATAAAAACTACACATTTAAAGGTCTTAAATCGCATCTTATTTACCAGCTCATTACTTTTTTGGCATAGGAGCAGGATGACCACATATATAATATAATGTGGGCGATCGTGGCTCAAGAGTTGGGAGTTTGCCTTGTAATTGGAAGGTTGCCGGTTCGAGCCCCGGCTCGAACAGTCTCGGTCGTTGTGTCCTTGGGCAAGACACTTCACCTACCGCCTACTGGTGTTGGCCAGAAGGGCCGATGGCGCGATATGGCAGCCTCGCTTCTGTCAGTCTGCCCCAGGGCAGCTGTGGCTACAACTGTAGCTTGCCTCCACCAGTGTGTGAATGTGTGTGTGAATGGGTGGATGACTGGGTGTGTAAAGCCTTTGGGGTCCCTAGGGGGGACTAGTAAAAGCGCTATACAAATACAGGCCATTTACCATTTATATCAGAACTATGTGTAAAAGTTCTACACATCATTTTTTAAGTCTCTTATGGTGTCACTGTAGGTGTAGCTGCATCTCAGGACCAGGACTTTGGGACTGCAAAACTCCACGTGGAAGTGTCCGATGTGGTCTCTGTTCTGGTCTATGTTGGAATAGCCAAAGGCAATGGAGTCCTGTCCAAAACTGGTAAGGCTGGTGAAACGTGTGAGGGCTAACAGGAGCTGTTAGCATTTTATACCTGAATCGCTGGCTGAGAGAAACTTTGTCAAAGAGTCAAAATGGATAAAACTAAACATGAGTTAATCTGTGGTTTGTTTACTGTATTATGTCATAAACTAAACGACTGTTAGTGTCACAATACGGCTGTGTGCAGGCAAGAGTAGGACCCAAAACGCAAACTCACAGAGTCAAAAGGTAAACTCAAAAAACACCGCTTTATTGCTGGCGTGGAGTGGGACATGAAAAACAATACAAAATAAACTAAACTGGGAAAACTAAAGCACAAGGAGCCACAGGGAAAATCACACAGCTATGATGGAGGACGCAACACTGACAAAGAGAAACATGGGGCTTAAATACACTGAGGGATAACGAGGGGGAATGAGCCACAGGAGGAGAGCACAGCTGAGAGCAACCAAGCAGGACGAGGCAAGGACGCAAAACTAGAAACACCCACATGAGACATGGACCTTCAAAGTAAAACAGGAAACACACTGACCGAATTCTAAAACACGCAAACTTAACAGCAACTGGGGGGGACAGAACATAGGGATCTGAAACATGGAACAGAAAGGCACAGTAGATCAACATGAACATAACAACGCCACAGGGGAAGAGTAAAACTGACCACGATGAACACAGAAACACCAGACCTCTTCACAATAAAACAGGAAACATAATGAGACGTAGACATGACAACCCAAACTTCACAATGTAAGACACAGACATGAAACACATGAAAAGCAGGGGAGATTTACCATAGTTGGAAACACGAGGGGAAAATAATTAGAACTAGAAACACTTAAGCATGATAACAAATGAACTTAGGAACCTGAAGGGTTTACATAAACTAAAACATCAAAATGAACTAAAACTCAAAACACTGGGTCATAAGACCCAGGACCGTGACAGTTAGTTTAGATTTTTGAGAGCTGAATGACATAGATACAGTTTGACAAAGGTCATTGTTAAAAAATGATAATAAGTGAACGACGAGTTTGTTTTTCTGAAGGAGTGTTGAAGCGTCTGGAAGAGGAGGATCTAGATGAGGGGGTTCGAAAGAGATTAAAAGACTCGAGTGAAACACCAGGGGCGCTGTGGCACATCTACCTCAACAGAGACATGGACAAAGTCCGAGACTTCCTGCACAAGGTCGGCACTCGCAGAAACATACTCAAAACGTGATTGTGTGAATTTAGTGAATTTCAGCGTAGCGCTGACCTAGAAAACCCTTTTCCTCCCCTTCAACAACAACCACCTCAGCTCTCTAAGGAGCAGGGTTTGGACGTGTCGCTGGACCAGGACTCCATCAGAAAGCACGCATGGTACCTGAGCAGGAAGCAGCGTCAGCGGCTGCTGGATGAGCATGGCGTCCAGGGCTGGACAGTCGTTCAATTCCTGGGAGACTCTGTCCTTATACCTGCAGGGGCCATGCATCAGGTATTTACCACACACACACACACACACACACACTGATCACTAACTGATAAGGACAACACGTCCAACTCTACCAAATGTAATGCAGCAGAAATGAAATCAGTCTAATAGTCGGCGGCCTCTTTGTGAAGCGCACAGTTAAAATAGAGGAAGTGATGGTGTTTGATGTTTCATAGTTTAAACTGAATGCAGCGTAGTTGACATTATTTTTATTCTTATTGCACAGTGGAGCTTTCACACAGTTTCACACAGTTTGGGTGATGTTGTGATTGTACGTAATATTGTGGCAGCAGATGGTTTACACAAACTAGTCATTTTGAGTGTGCCTAAGCTGCTGCTGTGTCAGGTTTCAAAGACGTCAGGATCTGCGTGCATGGCGTTTCAAACAGTCATCAGCTGTGAGGACTGGTTACTATAGTAACTAACTAGAAACGCACACTCAGACACACAGCCGCCAAACACGATTCAAGTTTTGAAACAACTGCTTCCCTAGAGAAAACTCTCAGGAAACGTCTTTCACCGTGAGTGAAAGACGTTTCCAGTCTACAAAATATCCCGTTATTACATTATCATATCTGTAGTGTTTATCGTGGTGGTAACAGTGTAAAGACACATGGTTGCCTGTGGGGGAGAGACGGGGAGGAGGCTGCGCTTCATCTCTGAGAGATCCATACATGCTGTCTCACACGTGACTGGGTGAAAGAGGACAATGGAGCTACGCTCTGATGTATATAATATACATGTAGAGCAAAAGGTTTGGGTGGGAAAGAAAGACTTCTGTTTTAAATGATTCTCCACGCTGTTTTTAGAGCAGGTCACATGATCATTCCGTGGCAGGAAAAATCTCATTTTTCTTAAAATTTATACTGATGTTGTGAAAAAACCATAAAAGCTATCGAAGCATAGTTTTAGTCAATAACAGTCCAAAGTCTTGTGCCCCGTGTAATGTTTGAATGATGTTTCTGTGATCAACTCTGGCCGAGCAGTAGGCCTTCAAAGTGGCCTGTGTTTGTGCCTTTTTCAGATGTGTTCCCATTCAAATGAATGGGGAACAATTAAAAATCTATTCGTTTTGGGGAATTTTGCAAAAACCACGAATTGCCACCAAAATCCCCGGCACACCGTACCCAATCGAGCCGCTTGAAACGATATATGGAAGCGTTGTCTCAAAGCTACGACGCGTTTCGCTGCAAACGTTTAGGCAGAAGAAGAAAAATAAGAAGGAGAATATTAAATCTGCATAGGCACACTCAATTATCAATGTGTTTGGCTTATTTTTACTTGATATTCTGTGATTGTTGCAGGTCCAAAACCTCCACAGCTGTGTTCAAGTCATCAATGACTTTGTGTCTCCTGAGCACGTGGCTAACTCCTTCCACCTGACCCAGGAGCTACGACCCAACAACGAGGAGGTCAACTATGAAGACAAACTACAGGTAATACAATACACGCCACACAAAAAGCGTCAGCAGACACACAGAGCACAGCAGTCTCGTTGTGGTTAAAGCTCTGTGGCTGAGTTAGACTCCATCTCCGTATCGTCTGTATTCTGCTGCGTTTGTGTTTGAAAACCAAAGCGAAGTCTGTCAGAGGGGGCAGTCATCATCAGAGGGATCTTATTGTGTCAGATAACGACATGAAAATGCTCCACAGTGGGAGGTCAACTTCAGTGACTCTTGGTGAAGCCTAGCAGCTAGCAGTTCTACATGAGTCAGTCAGAGCAGCCATACCTTCACTGCTGCTGCACGCTTGTTATGAAATATCCACACAGGGCAAAAAAACATTTTGGGGGGGCAGACTGTGAACACAGCTTTTAATGCTGGTTGGTTATATGGCAACCTATGGGAATGGACTTGTTTGTGGAGCCTCAAGGGGTCCTCAGAGGAACGGCAGCTTCTCAGGTCCAAAGGTTGCTGCTTGGCAGTACTGGGTGTGTGTCTGCGATTTGACAGGCTGCTTGACGTTTGAGATTTGAACATAATTCTTGTAAAAGAAATGGATGAGGTCCAGCACTTACACCGTGTCGCCTTGCTGTTTCCCTGCAGGTGAAGAACATCCTGTATCATTGTGTGAAGGAGGCAGCGAGTTCCCTTAGAAAGAGCGGCTCTGAGAAAGATGACGAGGAACACAACTCATGATGCCCTCTCAGCCTCGTTCATGCCTTCCACAGATGGCTGCGACTCCCATCAGCACCTCGCCCTTTCCACGCCCTCCTCCTTCTGCCATGGAGGGCTGTGTCACGTGACCACAATAAATGGCTGGCTCAAAGCTGGTCATGTGATCCAGAGGACCTCACAGTGTGACCCACATTCATGTCACACATCGAGTGGCCAGTGAGAGGCACTGCCGCCCTTGTCATCACCCCAAACCTTTAGTGCCAAGAGGAGACAAATTGAAGAGCAGCTGGGCTGAGAGGGCTGAAAGCCCCACAGGCTCCAAACACAAAGCGAATGCTGGCTGGGAGCCTCACTAGAGCCAGTGTGATGGAGTGAATCAGCACTACAAACCTCCAAACGCGTCTGCATCCAGCTGAAATGCAGTTTCCACAGAGGCTCAGACTGTCGTAGCAGCACTGGTGGAGCCGCGCTCACTGCTTTGGATGATAAAGGCCAGGAACTCTAACCTATGGCAGCAGCTAACACAGCTGATGGCGTCAGCATCACCAGCAGCATTAGGATCAAAACTGGCATCTCTGATGTTTCGAAAGGCAAAAAGACACACGAGGGCGGAAAATGCAAACCAGAAATCTCAGCTGTTTTAGTCAGTAGCCTCTGCTGCTCCCTCGTTTCTCGTTCCTTCGTGTCGTTCTTGTCCTTTTTTCTAGTTTTGTTGTGCTTTTTTTTCAGGATTTCTTTCATCTAACCTTGTTTTATCTCCTCTGTGAAGATGTATTTATTTCATAGCTCTATTAAATGCAGTGTTATTGAAACAAAATGCATTATGTAAATGTGAGTTGTACAGTTTGTTTTCTTTTGCTGTTTTTCAGTTGTAATACGGCTCTACTGTGATGGAGGACACACACACACACACACACACCAGCTAATGCCTGTACTTTGGGAAATGTTGACGCTCTACAGTCCTCATGCCATAAATACATTTTCTGAAAATGACCTGCCAAACTATTGTAGACTGTGTAAAGTTGTATTATGTAAAGGAAAAAACAAACGAAATGGCTTATACACGTCAGCATTTTATGAAAAAAATAAGTATTTGCTGTAAAAATGAGACATTTACAGAAAAGATGTAATTTATTTAAGAAAAGAATTGATTGTCTTGTTTTTGTTAAGATTTACTATGGTGACATTTTGAAGTTAAAACATAAAATAAAGAAAAAATGAACTATAATATGTACATATATACATCCACTGAGGTATTTTTTTAAAACATGGCTTGCTTCAATTTCAAATTTTAACTTGCAAGTGTTACATGCTTTGTACATTGAAGTTCAAAAGGGTTTTACATTTTCCATTAAAATGGATTTATCTAAGATTTGCTTTTGTGTTTTTCATTGAGGGCTGAGGGTGAACGGGAGCTGTTCACAGGGTGCCGTCTCCTTTTCCCGACCTCTGGGTGGGAGAACTGATAAGGACAAACGACGTCACAGCGGTTTCCTTAATGTAACACAGATGTGTTGAAACTACAATGTGCAGAAGATGTGCATCTTAATTCATTAATTCATTTTATGCGGGTCATTTAATCCGAGCAGCCTGTGAATATTTCACTGCTATGCTGATGACACCCGGCTCTATCTGTCCATGAAGCCAGATAACACACACCAATGAGTTAAACTGCAGGAATGTCTTAAAGACATAAAGACCTGGATGGCCGCTAACTTTCTGCTTCTTAGTTCAGATCAAACTGAGCTTATTGTACTCGGCCCTGAAAAGCTTAGAAATAAGGGCGTAGATTTGGTTTAGGCGTTGATGGGGACGGATGATTCAACCACCCAACCTGCCCCGTTTCTCTTTTTCCTTTTTGTCTTTGCTTCTTGATAAAAGGAGAAATATACTTGCCTACATGTGCTATTCTACCTGCTTTTAAACCATTTAAAATTACAATTCATAGTTTTATGTGAATTATATAATGTTAAGTTACTATTAAACAAATGATTGTATTTTGAAGTATTTTAGGCTTTAGTTTATTTCAGCCATATTCCATATAAATCAGGTATCATACAAAAGTAAAAATAGCTTCAAATACAGTCGTGACAATAAAAGAATATGACTTTAAGGACTTAACAACATTACTTCAGTTGCACCAACATCTCTGACACATCAGCACTAAGGGAACACTGAGTGACCTGCTGGGTTTGGTCCATAAAACTGCTCGTCTAAGATGACCACAGAGTCAAAGATCTCTCAGCAACATTATGCAACATTTTGGGCTCTATACAAACATCTGTTTGTAGGCTGAGTGCATTTTTAAAACAATTTGTGCAAACTGCACTACAAGGTGGAATATTTGCAAAATCATGACTATTCATGACATTTTGTCTCAGAAATGAACCCTATGAATACGTCAGTGCCATTAGGATGAAATTATTGTGTCACCAACATTAGACATATAATTCTGACAGCCTCTGTAAGCTAATATCCGGGCTGCTCGAGGCTCCGTTTTCTCTGACAGTTTCAATCAAAATGAGAAACGCTGCTCTGAGACTGAGAGAACTAGCAGTGCTGCCTGCTGTGCAGGTAGTTTCCCAAACACGTTCTTCATGGTTACATACAGTTTTAGACTGATGTGTACGGTGGCCCTGAGAGGCCAAACGGACTGCAACTTCAGAAAACACTTGCAAAAAGAAAAAATGCTGCAAAAAGAAAAAATGCTGCAAAAAGAAAAACACTTGCAAAAAGAAAAATGCTGCAAAAAGAAAAACGCTGCAAAAAGAAAAACGCTGCAAAAAGAAAAATGCTGCAAAAAGAAAAACGCTGCAAAAAGAAAAATGCTGCAAAAAGAAAAACGCTGCAAAAAGAAAAATGCTGCAAAAGCACACAAAGCACAACGGAAATAGGAAAAAAGACAACGGAAATGTTTCTGGGGAGACAATAACCGAACGGACCAGTTGCACGAACCAAAACATGTATGTATGGCTGTTTCCCAATTCAGGGTCTGCAGCCTTAAAGTACGCAGCCTTAACGGTCCTCAAGGGCCGCACTCAAAGACTGCTGAGGCCGGAAGTGCGAGGCTTGTAGGCTTGTGAAATGGGACGGTCTAGCCTCCGTCGCGCTGCCCAGGTTGCCTAGCAACCATGATACTAACAGCTGGAAACGTTTCATACAGCTTTGTTTGACAGAAATGAAGGAGAACATATTTTGTACATTTGTTTCTACATGAGCTTTGTGTGATTTGATAAGTATCTGAGGCTGAGACCACGGGACTGTAAAACATGATTGTTGGGCTTCATTTTTGTACTGAACAGTCATTTAAGATTAGCTAGTAAATAACAATTAGCTAATCTTGTTCATGAGACTAAAGTCATCTCACTTTGGTAATGTAAATATAATATGGCCAATATTATATTAATCATTATTAGTTATTACAGCAGTGAACATGAACTCTGTGCCAAACACTGAGCTTCAGTAAAGATTCAAGTTGCATTTATTTATATTTCCTATCACCTTAAATCTTCACTTAAACACAAGTATCTGTGACAGTGTATATATAGATGTATTATATATAAGAGACAAATATTGTTCTTTTAATATGTTGGCATTACTAAATTTGGCTCAATGCTTACATATATGTGTAAAAAGAAAATGTACGAGCTGTGAAAACTGTTTCTGATAAAATGAAGAGTAGACTGATATATGAAATATTCCTTTATTGGGTGAGAAAATCAGACCATGTCATAACTGCTTTAAGTCATACAGAATAGATATCAGAGCCTTAAACAGGCTGACTTCTGTTAAATGGGTCAAACTGGGCAGAAAGTCTACAAACACATAACATCCTTATAGAATATGATATAACACTATAGATCAACTTACCTCAGAATATATAAAGCATATAAACAATTACAGCAATATGATGCAACAAACACAGCAGTGCTACTGATCCAAAATACTCAAAGCTTCATAGAACTGAAACAAACATTTATTTTTAGCTCCATTCTGCTGCTGATACATACTTTAGGTTTCTGAACATTAAACTTGTTTCTGCCTTTCATAGTGTGTAACTTGAAGGCCCTGAGTACTTTCTCCCACACTTTGCACATAAATAAGTGACATAATATTCAGAACTTACTTTTGAAAGTTTACTCTTTGGCCGCTCCACTTCTTTGAAGTGTCTCCCAGTCCCAGTGCACTTGTTAGCATGTTTTGGTTCGTGCAACTGGTCCGTCCGGTTATTGTCTCCCCAGAAACATTTCCGTTGTCTTTTTTCCTATTTCCGTTGTCTTTTTTCCTATTTCCGTTGTCTTTTTTCTTATTTCCGTTGTCTTTTTTCCTATTTCCGTTGTGCTTTGTGTGCTTTTGCAGCGTTTTTCTTTTTGCAGCATTTTTCTTTTTGCAAGTGCTTTCTGAAGTTGCAGTCCGTTTGGCCTCTCAGGGCCACCGTAGATGTGGGCCAAAGCCTAGCACAGCCTGGAACGTTATTGTGACACATTTTATGAGTGAACTTGGCTTTAAGTGACTCACAGGTTTCTTTGAAAAACACTTTCTTATATCCAGGTTCTTCCTCTTTGCTGCCGTCCTCCTCTCCTCCTCGCAGCGCAGGCTTGCCGCTGCTGAAACTCAACAGAGCTCCCTGAAAGGCTCAGCCAATCACATTGGCCATATTTGTCACATGACGTAGGACTCCAGTAGAGGACTCATTTCACTCTTTCTGCTCCGCTGGGTGAATGAGACGTTGACAGATCGGTTTTTCTTTCTATCGGGTTAGTTTTTCTTTACTCGAGGAGATCAAATTATTGGTGGGGACATGTCCCTTCCGTCCATGCCAAATCTACGCCCTTGAAATATGGTATCTAAGCAGATTCTTCCTCTGGATGGCGTTACCTTGGCCTCCAGTAACACTGTGAGGAACCTTGGAGTCATGTTTGATCAGGACATGTCCTTCAACGCACATATTAAACAAATATGTAAAACTGCTTTCTTCCATTTCTAAAGTTAGAAATATCCTGTCTCAGAGTGACGCTGAAAAACTAGTTCATGCATTTATGAAAAGCCCTCAGCTGATCCAAAATGCTGCAGCAAGAGTCCTGACAGGGACTAGAAAGAGAGTAACTCACCTCTTTCCCTGCGCCAGCTGAACTTTGATAGTTTATAATAAGTTAACATAATCAAATCACTGTGTTACACAACACTAACGCAAACAACAAGTTCAACTTCTGATGCAGTTGCAGGACGCATGGTGCAGCTAGTAAGACACCCTGTGCGCATTAGTATACAGTACTTCCATTTCACCAGAAGAGGACGCTACGGGTCAATCCTGAAGTTATTTGGAGGTTACAACTGGATTTATGGAGGGTAACTGTACTTGTTATTTTACTCTTTACTGTGGAGTGAAACCCACAAAGACACGGAGATCACGTCAACTCGATACAGCTGACACTAAAATGTGGGAACCACAAACCCTTTGTTGTGAGGTGACACTGCACATGCTCAGTGGCACACGCTCCACGGAGCACGATGAGAGTGTAAAGAACTCTGTGTTCAGTAATTCTAGCAACTACAGAAGAACATTTGATTTCCACAAATCAGAATAAAGGGAATGAAATAAATTCATGAATCTTCACTAAATGAGGCTGAATGTCAGCACTGGGTAAGTAATTACCACAGTGATTACCATCGCAGCTAACTGCCCTGAGAGCGCAGACACGAGGAATCTCACACTCAGGTTCACAGTGGGAGCAGTGTCTTTTAGAGATAGTTATACTCATGCATATTCCTGATTAGGAAGGTGTTAAAATAAATTACTGCAGGTAAGAGCTTTGTCCTGGGTTAAACCTCTGCAGCTCTGATTAACATGTGGGTGCTCGTCCTCAGCCCGAGCCATGATTTCTACTCTGTGACCAGTTTAGTTTGAAAACTGAAGGTCACATTTGTGCTGAAACCAGTAGTGTGTGTTTGCGTGTACGTGTGTGCGCGTGCGTGTCTGCGTGTACGTGCATGTGCGTGTGTGTGAGAGAGGAACAGTGCTGACTTGACTGATGCTGGGATCACCTCCTATTCATACTGAAGTGGAAACACACACATGCGATCCTGCTCTCCATTACATAAGCTGAAAATGTGCCCTGTGTGTGTGTGTGCGTGCGTGCGTGCGTGCGTGCGTGCGTGTGTGTGTGTGTGCGTGCGTGTGTGTGTGTGTGTGTGTGTGGAGTACACTGAGGCAGAAGTTCATCACTGGGTTCAGAGAAAGGTCACTGTCTCTCTTGCCTTTTTGCTTTTCGTTTCTCGCTCTGTTTTTTTAATGATTCTTTTAAAACGTTTTTTCCATTTGCAGTTTTTGGGGCATGCGTGTCATTACGGAGCTTTACTTCTTTCTTTC